CATGACTCGTTCCCTTCTCCAATTTCTGTTTTTCCATTGTTTTCTAATTCTTCTGTAAGTCACTCATCATCTAGACCTCTATTGACCTATCAAAGGAGAAATACTGCCACTCATCATCACCTACCACAATCACATGGGCCCCTTCAAGATAATTCCTTGAATGATGATCCAGTACAAGCTCCATAACCAGAACCAGCTCCTTTACGACGCAATTCATGCATTGGTAAGCCTCCAGAAAGGTATATTTGTTCCATGACAGCAACATTATCTTATTCCTATTCCTTCTTCTTATAAATAGGCAATGAAGAATGAATGTTGGCAAAAACCTGTTGAAAGCGAACTTCTTGCCTTGGAAGAAAATCAGACATGGGATATAGTGTCATGTCCTCCATCTGTTAAACCCTTAGGCATCAAGTTTGTGTTCTCTATAAAGCTACATTTGGATGGCTTCATAGACCATTATAAGGCGCGACTGGTTGTGCTTGGATACAAGAAAGAGTATGGCCTAGACTATGATGAGACTTTTGCTCCAATTGCCAAGATGACCACTATGCGCACTATCCTTGCTCTTGCTGCATCCAAATCTTGGCCATTACATCAAATGGATGTCAAAAATGCATTCCTCTATGGTGACCTTAAGGAAGAAGTTTACATCACACTTCTTGGTGGTATGTCGACCCTCTCCCCGAATATTGTTAGCAAATTGAAACGCTCTTTATATGGATTGAAGCAGCCCCCAAGAGTATGATTTGAAAAGTTTCACTCCACTCTTCTTGGTTTTTCTTTCAATCAAAGTGAGTATGATCCATCACTTTTCCTTCAACAGACTCCTAAAGGCATCATCGTACTTCTTGTTTATGTGGATGACATTGTGGTCACTTGTTCTGATCAAGATGCTATTTCTAGAATCAAACAAATGTTGCATTCAAATTTTCACATGAAAGAGTTAGGCTATCTCAATTATTTCTTGGGTTTAGATGTGCATTACCATCTTGAAGGCATTTTCGTAAACCAGCATAAATATATTCAAGATTTGGTCCAGCTAGCGGGACTCACCAATGTTGCCCCTGTTGACACTCTAATGGACGTTAATGTTAAATATAGGCGACATGAAGGAGAGCTTCTTGACGATCCCAGTCAATATCGAAAACTACTTGGTAGTCTCATCTATGTGACCATCACTCGCCCTGATATTTCTTTTGCTGTACACACTGTTAGTAAGTTCATGCAATCTCCACAACACTTTCATTTTTCAGTTGTGCAGCGTATCCTTAAATATCTCCTTGGCACTTCAAGTCGTGGTTTATTCTTTTCTGGTAATTCATCTCTTCAACTCCAAGCTTATAGTGATGATGATTGGGCTGGTTGTCCAGACACTAGGAGATCAACTACTGGCTGGTGTATGTTCCTAGGGAATGCTCCTATTTCATGGAAATGTAAGAAACAAGATTCAGTCTCAAAGTCATCTACTGAAGCAAAATATCGCACAATGTCTGCTACTTGTTCTGAGATAATATGGCTACGTGGTCTTCTTACAGAGCTTGGATTATTTCAAGCACAACCAACTCCACTTCATGCTGATAACACCAGTACCATATAGATTGCAGCAAATCCAGTTTACCATGAACGGACGAAACACATCGAGGTCGATTGCCACTCTATCCGAGAAGCGTATGATCGTAGAGTCATCAATCTACCACATGTCTCAACATCCGTTCAAATAGCAGACATTTTCACTAAATCGTTGCCAAGCTAGCGTCACAATTTTCTACTTGGAAAATTGATGCTTGTAGATTCACCAACATGATTTTTGAGGGGGGATGTCAATAGAATGAATGGCAAAAGATTTGCAATTGTATATTTATTTGTAACAGTTATTCTGTTAATTACGATAATTAGTTGTAGTTAATGTATATATTGTAGTTTAGCTTATTTAGTGGGCTGAAAATAAGCTTGACTGATTGTAATCATGTGTACTTATATGAAAATTCTCCAACAAGAGGAGACACAGTTTGACACAGTTTTTTTGGCTCAATCTTCTCTGAGTTTAACAGTTTGATCATTTTTTCAAATGTTTGGTGTGTTGGTCAAATTGAAGTAAGTGCTCATACAGTTTTTTTAGCCTGTGTGTGCTGGTTTAATTTAATTGGATTAATTGATTATTGACTTTACTATATTTTGGTGCTGCAATTGAAATAGTCTGGTTAACTGGTTCACTGGTGCATTTAAATTGAAGCAACTCACGTATTTGTGTAATAAAAAATATTTTAAAATTCAATAGTTTTCCATTCTAATTTTGATTAAACATATTCGATGAAGAAAATTGGTGGAGAAACTCGAAGCATATAGATTGTGTGCATTAGGTGCTTAGCAATTGGAGTTTGTCTGGATGCATGTTAAGATGTTGCACTAATTAATTTTATCTTTTGAATTTAACCTTGTATTTTAAACTATACATGACTTTACACTTAATTCTATCTTCAACTCATTCGGGTAGACTCATTCCAACCTTTAACTTCGTTAAATCTGATATACAAATAGTACTTCGGGAAGATTATTGTTGTTCTTCGCTTCTAAATATTAGTTTCAATTATTGAAATTAATTGTTAAAAGAGTATTAGTATTTGTGAGAGTCGACATTCTAGTTTTAAAGTTTAAATAATATGATTTTAGTGATTTGTTACCTACGACCCAATCATAACAAATTAACCAAGCAGAAAGCAGATATTTGAAGAACTCAAAACGCAAGCATCTTATATGGATTATGATATGTTAAAGTGTTTTAACAATTTTTTGAAAATAAACTGTCACTATTTTATTGATCCGTATATTCGAAATAGATCAATCACAAATTACCGTTGTAAAAAAATTATCAAACAAAAGTTATTGAAAAAACATTTTCCATCTTATAAATATGCCAATGTTTATTCATAGAAGAAGTGAGGTGGAGCTTATATCATGTACATATTTCAACGCTTTGTGAGCTCTTACATCATACATACATTTAGTTCATAATTCAGTACACAAATGAACCCTTTCTTCTCTCCCTTTGTTGTTGCTTCTTTATCAACTTCTCAACCTTCTCACCACACGCAGGGAAGGAAACCTCCAACACCTCTGTAGGTATCTCGCTCATCACATTGTCTTTCTCACCTTTAACTTTTCAATCGCGCATTACCAATTGTAAATGAACAACCCCATCACCCAAGTTTCATATGGAATAGAAACAAACAAGAGCAGTATGTTAAAATTGAAGGAGATATTTAATATATATACCTGCAAGGAAGTTCATCTGGTTGTTCTCAGCATTAATACCGAAAGCAAAGAAACTTAGATTGGAGGTTGCATTGATGGCAACTGGATAAGCCTCTGGGATTACAAATACATCGTCTTCAGACAACTCAACTGTACCTCTACACTTCCAAGCTTTCCTCTTTCTACTGTTGTTGTTCTCTTAGGCCAACAAGTTCAATGTTTGCTTCTCCTTCATTAATCACCAGGTCTCAATACTAAGATTTCCTAATTAAGACGATAGTGAATAATTGAACTCAATTGCTGAGTTTGTCTGTCTAGTTCACTATTGCAGAAAACATATGTTATTTTGGGTTTTTACACACACATACACATAGATGTCATGGGGAATTTTATTGAAACAGAATGCAATAGTAAAACCTGTGAAATTGGCTTACAACTAGAACAAGAATGCAACAAAAAATTCAAATAATGTTCAATCCAGAATTCCCCAAAGTGTTTGTTTCTGCATGAAGATGAAGAAGAGTAGAAATGGGTAAATGAGAAAGTGAAGTTTCAGAGAGAGATGGATGAGATCAGAAATTACAGCAGAGGAAACAAAAAGTAGTTCATACCAGAGTCATACTCTCGTCACCGAACAGAATCCTTTAATAACACATTCTCTTTACGTGTTCTCACCCTTTTACACGTGTCCATTCTCACAGTTTCTTCTTCCACATATCCCTTCCTAGAAGCTACACTTCCCTCCACGTCTCCTTCACTTGTTACAATACCCTCTCCTTTATGAGCAACATTGTCCTCAAGGTTGAAGTAAGGNAACTTTTATTGATGATTATAGTCGTTTCACTTGGGTCTATTTTCTGCGCTCAAAAGATGAAGTCTTTTCCACTTTCAAATTCTTTTATGCTTATGTTCAGACCCAATTCTCCTCCAAAATCAAAATTCTTCGTGTTGATAATGGGAGGAATACACATCACACTTATTTCAGGAATTCTTGCAATCCAATGGCATTTTATCTCAAAGATCATGCCCATCAACCCCCCAACAAAACGGGGTAGTTGAACGAAAAAATCGCCATTTACTAGATGTTGTCCGCACCCTTTTGCTGGAGTCGCATGTGCCATCACGATTTTGGTGTGAAGCCCTTTCCACTATTGTTCATCTTATAAACAGATTGCCATCTCCTTCTATAAGTAATGCATCTCCTTTCACTCGATTATTTGGTCACCCACCCGATTACTCCACTCTTCGTATCTTCGGTTGTGCATGTTATGTCCATCTTCCTCCACACGAACACACCAAGCTCACTGCACAATCTGTTGAATGTGCTTTTCGTGACTATTATCTTCATCAAAAGGGATTTCTATGTTATGATCCTAACATTCATCGGATTCAGGTATCTCGAAATTTCATTTTTCTAGAAAGTGTATATTCTTTTGCAAACCATCATGACTCGTTCCCTTCTCCAATTTCTGTTTTTCCATTGTTTTCTAATTCTTCTGTAAGTCACTCATCATCTAGACCTCTATTGACCTATCAAAGGAGAAATACTGCCACTCATCATCACCTACCACAATCACATGGGCCCCTTCAAGATAATTCCTTGAATGATGATCCAGTACAAGCTCCATAACCAGAACCAGCTCCTTTACGACGCAATTCATGCATTGGTAAGCCTCCAGAAAGGTATATTTGTTCCATGACAGCAACATTATCTTATTCCTATTCCTTCTTCTTATAAATAGGCAATGAAGAATGAATGTTGGCAAAAACCTGTTGAAAGCGAACTTCTTGCCTTGGAAGAAAATCAGACATGGGATATAGTGTCATGTCCTCCATCTGTTAAACCCTTAGGCATCAAGTTTGTGTTCTCTATAAAGCTACATTTGGATGGCTTCATAGACCATTATAAGGCGCGACTGGTTGTGCTTGGATACAAGAAAGAGTATGGCCTAGACTATGATGAGACTTTTGCTCCAATTGCCAAGATGACCACTATGCGCACTATCCTTGCTCTTGCTGCATCCAAATCTTGGCCATTACATCAAATGGATGTCAAAAATGCATTCCTCTATGGTGACCTTAAGGAAGAAGTTTACATCACACTTCTTGGTGGTATGTCGACCCTCTCCCCGAATATTGTTAGCAAATTGAAACGCTCTTTATATGGATTGAAGCAGCCCCCAAGAGTATGATTTGAAAAGTTTCACTCCACTCTTCTTGGTTTTTCTTTCAATCAAAGTGAGTATGATCCATCACTTTTCCTTCAACAGACTCCTAAAGGCATCATCGTACTTCTTGTTTATGTGGATGACATTGTGGTCACTTGTTCTGATCAAGATGCTATTTCTAGAATCAAACAAATGTTGCATTCAAATTTTCACATGAAAGAGTTAGGCTATCTCAATTATTTCTTGGGTTTAGATGTGCATTACCATCTTGAAGGCATTTTCGTAAACCAGCATAAATATATTCAAGATTTGGTCCAGCTAGCGGGACTCACCAATGTTGCCCCTGTTGACACTCTAATGGACGTTAATGTTAAATATAGGCGACATGAAGGAGAGCTTCTTGACGATCCCAGTCAATATCGAAAACTACTTGGTAGTCTCATCTATGTGACCATCACTCGCCCTGATATTTCTTTTGCTGTACACACTGTTAGTAAGTTCATGCAATCTCCACAACACTTTCATTTTTCAGTTGTGCAGCGTATCCTTAAATATCTCCTTGGCACTTCAAGTCGTGGTTTATTCTTTTCTGGTAATTCATCTCTTCAACTCCAAGCTTATAGTGATGATGATTGGGCTGGTTGTCCAGACACTAGGAGATCAACTACTGGCTGGTGTATGTTCCTAGGGAATGCTCCTATTTCATGGAAATGTAAGAAACAAGATTCAGTCTCAAAGTCATCTACTGAAGCAAAATATCGCACAATGTCTGCTACTTGTTCTGAGATAATATGGCTACGTGGTCTTCTTACAGAGCTTGGATTATTTCAAGCACAACCAACTCCACTTCATGCTGATAACACCAGTACCATATAGATTGCAGCAAATCCAGTTTACCATGAACGGACGAAACACATCGAGGTCGATTGCCACTCTATCCGAGAAGCGTATGATCGTAGAGTCATCAATCTACCACATGTCTCAACATCCGTTCAAATAGCAGACATTTTCACTAAATCGTTGCCAAGCTAGCGTCACAATTTTCTACTTGGAAAATTGATGCTTGTAGATTCACCAACATGATTTTTGAGGGGGGATGTCAATAGAATGAATGGCAAAAGATTTGCAATTGTATATTTATTTGTAACAGTTATTCTGTTAATTACGATAATTAGTTGTAGTTAATGTATATATTGTAGTTTAGCTTATTTAGTGGGCTGAAAATAAGCTTGACTGATTGTAATCATGTGTACTTATATGAAAATTCTCCAACAAGAGGAGACACAGTTTGACACAGTTTTTTTGGCTCAATCTTCTCTGAGTTTAACAGTTTGATCATTTTTTCAAATGTTTGGTGTGTTGGTCAAATTGAAGTAAGTGCTCATACAGTTTTTTTAGCCTGTGTGTGCTGGTTTAATTTAATTGGATTAATTGATTATTGACTTTACTATATTTTGGTGCTGCAATTGAAATAGTCTGGTTAACTGGTTCACTGGTGCATTTAAATTGAAGCAACTCACGTATTTGTGTAATAAAAAATATTTTAAAATTCAATAGTTTTCCATTCTAATTTTGATTAAACATATTCGATGAAGAAAATTGGTGGAGAAACTCGAAGCATATAGATTGTGTGCATTAGGTGCTTAGCAATTGGAGTTTGTCTGGATGCATGTTAAGATGTTGCACTAATTAATTTTATCTTTTGAATTTAACCTTGTATTTTAAACTATACATGACTTTACACTTAATTCTATCTTCAACTCATTCGGGTAGACTCATTCCAACCTTTAACTTCGTTAAATCTGATATACAAATAGTACTTCGGGAAGATTATTGTTGTTCTTCGCTTCTAAATATTAGTTTCAATTATTGAAATTAATTGTTAAAAGAGTATTAGTATTTGTGAGAGTCGACATTCTAGTTTTAAAGTTTAAATAATATGATTTTAGTGATTTGTTACCTACGACCCAATCATAACAAATTAACCAAGCAGAAAGCAGATATTTGAAGAACTCAAAACGCAAGCATCTTATATGGATTATGATATGTTAAAGTGTTTTAACAATTTTTTGAAAATAAACTGTCACTATTTTATTGATCCGTATATTCGAAATAGATCAATCACAAATTACCGTTGTAAAAAAATTATCAAACAAAAGTTATTGAAAAAACATTTTCCATCTTATAAATATGCCAATGTTTATTCATAGAAGAAGTGAGGTGGAGCTTATATCATGTACATATTTCAACGCTTTGTGAGCTCTTACATCATACATACATTTAGTTCATAATTCAGTACACAAATGAACCCTTTCTTCTCTCCCTTTGTTGTTGCTTCTTTATCAACTTCTCAACCTTCTCACCACACGCAGGGAAGGAAACCTCCAACACCTCTGTAGGTATCTCGCTCATCACATTGTCTTTCTCACCTTTAACTTTTCAATCGCGCATTACCAATTGTAAATGAACAACCCCATCACCCAAGTTTCATATGGAATAGAAACAAACAAGAGCAGTATGTTAAAATTGAAGGAGATATTTAATATATATACCTGCAAGGAAGTTCATCTGGTTGTTCTCAGCATTAATACCGAAAGCAAAGAAACTTAGATTGGAGGTTGCATTGATGGCAACTGGATAAGCCTCTGGGATTACAAATACATCGTCTTCAGACAACTCAACTGTACCTCTACACTTCCAAGCTTTCCTCTTTCTACTGTTGTTGTTCTCTTAGGCCAACAAGTTCAATGTTTGCTTCTCCTTCATTAATCACCAGGTCTCAATACTAAGATTTCCTAATTAAGACGATAGTGAATAATTGAACTCAATTGCTGAGTTTGTCTGTCTAGTTCACTATTGCAGAAAACATATGTTATTTTGGGTTTTTACACACACATACACATAGATGTCATGGGGAATTTTATTGAAACAGAATGCAATAGTAAAACCTGTGAAATTGGCTTACAACTAGAACAAGAATGCAACAAAAAATTCAAATAATGTTCAATCCAGAATTCCCCAAAGTGTTTGTTTCTGCATGAAGATGAAGAAGAGTAGAAATGGGTAAATGAGAAAGTGAAGTTTCAGAGAGAGATGGATGAGATCAGAAATTACAGCAGAGGAAACAAAAAGTAGTTCATACCAGAGTCATACTCTCGTCACCGAACAGAATCCTTTAATAACACATTCTCTTTACGTGTTCTCACCCTTTTACACGTGTCCATTCTCACAGTTTCTTCTTCCACATATCCCTTCCTAGAAGCTACACTTCCCTCCACGTCTCCTTCACTTGTTACAATACCCTCTCCTTTATGAGCAACATTGTCCTCAAGGTTGAAGTAAGGATAAGCTTGTTAAAATTCATTAATATCCTGCAAAGTAGCTTCTTGAGGTGTAGTAGAGTGCCATTGAACCAACACCTGTTGTATGTCAGTGGAGTTACGCTGTATGACTCTTGTATCTAGCACTTTCATTGGACTTATAACAGAGCCAAACTCATTAGTGGTCAAAGGTAAAGGTAAGTATGGTTGAGACTGATTTCCCATAAACTTTTTGAGTAAAGAAATGTGAAAAACATGGTGAATTCGAGCTGTCTAAGGCAACTTTAACTTGTAAGCCACTGCACCAATCTTCTCCACTACTTCAAATGGACCAAAGAACCTCATGCTAAGTTTTTTATTCTTTCTAAGAGCCACCGAGTTTTGTCTATACGGCTGCAGTTTCACTAAGGCCAGATCACCAATTTACAGTTGCAGCTCTCTTCTTTTCTTATCAGCTTGTAGTTTCATGTAATTTTGAGCTCTAATGAGATTGTGCTTGAGCTGTTGCTGCAATTTATCCCTATTGCTTAGAGACTCTTGAATAGGAGGAGGAACTTTAGCGTTAACTTCATAAGGAATAACCACAAGGGGTTCCCGACCAAAAATAGCTTTAGAAGGACTCATTTTTATACTATGATGGTAAGAAGAATTATACCAATATTGTGCCCACGGAAGCATAGAATACCATAGCTTGGAACTCTAAAAACATAGCACCACAAGTACATCCCTAATGTCTTGTTAAGTATCTCAGTTTGGCCATCATTTTGAGGGTGATAAACCAAGCTCATTGTCAAAGTAGTGCCTTGAGCTTTGAATAGGTGCTGCCAAAAAGAGCTAATAAAAATCCTCTCTATCCGAGACAATGGTTCTAGGGAAACCATGAATCTTTGCCACATTATTAATAAAAGCTTTTGCAACTGTCTTACTGTTATAATCAACTTTCAAGGGAATGAAATGCCCAAACATGGATAGTCTATCAATTACCACTAGGATTGTAGAAAAATTGTGTGAAGGAGGTAGATTTGTAATAAAATCCATTGCTATATCTTCCCAAATCTGTTGAGGTATTGGCAATGGTTGTAATAACCCATAAGGCAAAGCTTGATACACTTTAGCTTATTGGCAAATATTACATTATCTTATATACTGCTTGATATCTTCTTGCATCTTTGCCCAATAAAATTGATTGCAGATTCTGGCTATAGTCTTAGTAGTGCCAACATGACCCTCAACTTTAGAATCATGAAACTCCTACAAAATTTGATTCTTCAATGTCGTGTCTGCTGGTATCATTAATCTTCCAATTTTGAAAAGTATGCCATCTTTAACCACAAACTTCTGAGTAGGTAAAGTGCCTTGGGTATGTTGCAGCATCAACTTGCTCAAATCTGCATCCTTCTTTGTCATCTGAGCAATTTGTTCCAAGCATTTGAAATTGAACTTAGACCAAGCCAGCAAACAACTTCTAGACAAAGCATCAACTGAGATGTTCTCTTTTCCATGCTTATATTGTATAGTAAAATCATAGCCTAAAAACTTAGGAAGCCACTGCTACTGTTCTAGAGTTTGGAGCTATTGTTCAAGCAATTCTTTCAAACTTTTCTGATTGGTTTTAATAATGAACTTATGGCCCAACAAGTAATGTCTAAACTTAGCCAAAGCCTCTGTTATGGCATAAAATTCTTGGATATAAACAGATTGTTTTTGCATTCGAGGAGAAAGTTTCTTTGAAAAGTAAGCAATTGGATGTTGAGACTGGCTAAGAACAACTCCAATTCCTGACCCCGAAGCAACCGTTTCCAAAACAAACTGCTCTTCAAAATTTGGAATGGCAAGCACAGGAGCAGATGTCAAAGCCTCTTTCAAATTTTCAAATGCTAGGGATGCATTTTGAGTCCACTGAAATGATTCCTTTTTCAAAAAATCTGTTAAAGGTGCAACTATTGTGGCATAACTTTTAACGAATCTCGTATAGTAACCTGTGAGGCCTAAAAATTTCCTCAACTATTTGACTGTTGTAGGTAGAGGCCATTGTTTTACAACCTCTAATTTAGAAGTTCCCATAGCAACACTTGTACCTGATAAAGTAGGGCCCAAATAATCAATTTCACTCACCCTAAATGAGAATTTTGAGAGTCTTGCATATAATTGTTTTTGCTGAAGTGTTTTCAAGACTAATTCCAAATGATACAAGTGATCTTTCCATGTGGCACTAAACACCAAAATGTCGTAAAAAAATACTAGCACAAATTTCCGCAAATATGCCTTGAAAATCTCATTCATTAAACTTTGAAAAGAAGTTGGGGCATTAGTACCCAAATGGCATTACAAGCCATTCATAATGTCCATGGTAGGTTCGGAAAGAAGTTTTATATCTATGTTCTAGATTCAACAAGATTTGGTGATAACCAAATCTTAAGCCGAGCTTTGAAAAGAAAATTGCTCCAAATAACTCATCAATAAGTTCATCCACCGTGGGAATGGGAAAATTATCTTTAATTGTAATTGCATTCAAAGCGCGATAATCAATACATACTCTCCATGAGCCATCTTTCT